CCATCCCCTTTTCCTTATGAATCAGGGTGAAGTCTCTCTCAGGGAGGAGTGATAGGGAATGGCAAAGGACACACTGACAAAGGAGATTAATCAGAACTGGTTTTGACAAGCACTATGGCAACTGGACAATTAAAACAGACATTGGGGGGGGGAGAAGAACGAACTGGGGAGGAGGGTAGAGAAAACAGTGCAACAATAAATTAATGAGAACCCAAAATCTCTGAAAATGTTCATTAAAACTAATAAAATTTAACAATAATTAAAAAAATGGTGCAACCCCTATGGAAGACAGTATGGTGCTTTTTCAAGAAGTTGGAAATACAAATACCATCTGACCCAGCAATTCCGTTACTGGGAATATAAAGAAACCATAACTGCCACCCGAGCAGATATATGCACACCCATGTTTATTACTGCTTTGTTCACAAGAGCAAAGAGTTGGAAATAACCCAAGCACCCATCAACAAATGAATGGACAGAAAAATTGTGGAATATTCACACAATGGAATACTATTCAGCACTGAAAACCAAGAACTCATGAAATAATATACAAAATGGGTGATCTGGAGGACATTATGCTGAGTGAAATATCTCAGTCACAAAAGGGCAAATACTGCATAGTGCCACTGTTGTAAAGCAGGTCTGACATCAGAGTTGGGGGGAACCTAAGAAAAGAGGGGATAAATAATGTATGCTGTATTGAAACAGATGAGGGAGAGAACTGTTTAAAATGACAAAATTACAGAAAAAGAAATGCACAGTCAAGTGGACTGTGGACTTGGAAGAGGACTGTATCACAATGAAAGAATTTTTTTCTTTTCAAAGAGAAAAATGAACTGGGGGGAGGGGTGGGCAGGGAGAAAAATATACAACAATGAATGGAGAAACAATTAAATTGAAAGAATATGTTGTAAAAAATATGTATGTTGCATTAAAAATCATTAATAATAATAATCAAAAAGCAGCGTAGCTCCTTACCACTAGAGAACTAGAGCTCCCTCATTCATTAGGCCATTGTTTTAACTTCTTGAACTTCAAGCAGAATGACAGTTGAACACCAAAAATATTTCTAACACAGAAAAATTTTAGTCTCAGACAACTTTACCAATAATTCTTTTAAAGGACTGTGATATTTCGCATACCTGAAGACGCAGCTCTTTTTCCTCTTTCCTGAGCCATCTGGCGAATTTTCTTTTTCAGATCAAGTCGTTCTTCCTCTAGACTTTCAATCTGCAAAGTATGAAGTATTAATATTCTTGTTTAGTTCAATAAAGACAATAATTATTTTTATCTCAGCACTTACCTCTTTCAGAAGAATCTGGTTTTCAGCTCTGTATTGCTGCTGTTTTACTCTTTTACTATTCCTAAATTCCGTTAAATCAATCATTGACTTCGGCTCGAAGCCTAAAATTGAAAATAATATCATTAAAATATCAACATTTATATGTACTTAAATATTATCTATGACAAAATTGCAATATAGTATCCTTTATCATAATTATTAATAGAAATCATGACAAAAACGCATCTTCTCAATATTTTAGACATAAAAGAATACAAAAAAAGAATGGAAGCAATGCTTAGAAGGAAAATACCCCTATGATTAAGTTCTCCTTTCAACTAACCAAATACTACTGAATTCCATTTTTTACAGCTTATCACCAGGTTATACTAAAACTATTCTAAAAATATTGTTTATTACAGTGCCTGGCACATGTTGTTATGTAGCACCGAATCAGAACTTATTGACAGCTGACCCTCCACCAGGTATTCATTCAGAGCCAGTAAATCATATGAGCAGAGACATCTTTGTCCTACAGAGCAGCTGGTGAATTCAAACCAGGCATCTTAGGATTGGCAGCCATAGTAGTCATTGTTATTATTATTATTATTATTAATTGTTTTATTATTACTAGTTGTATATTCACAATATAATTTGCTAAGTAGATGTGCTCTAAATTCTAGGTATCAAGACTGCAAAAGGGATTATAAATCATAATTTGGAGACTTTCACTACAGAAAATCTAGTGGGCTCTGGTGACCTAGGGGTAAGAAGTTATGTATGCTGCCAATGCAAAGGCCAGTGGTTTGAATCCACTAGATGCTTTGTGTGAGAAAGATGAGCAATCTTTTCCCATGCCATCGACAACCTCTGAAATCCTACTGGAGGGTCAGCTATAAATCCTTTCCGATTTGATGGCATGGAACAACCATAATATTTGTGGCAGGTGCAGAAATTGGTAATTTAATGTTAAGAATTTCAGATTCTTGTCTACTATGATCTGGTACATTAAATTTATCAGAATAATACCTCACGGCCCTGGTTCAACTTAAAGTGCTAGTTTAGTCATTTAAATATTTTGTTTTTCTTTCCTCTAGAGAATAGTCATTTTTAGAGTCATTTTAACTCTAAGAAAGCATAAACTTCTGATATCATGAAGTGTAATGAAAACAATACTTAGATTTGCATTTTCATTGTTAATTAGTAATTTAGCTAGAACTGCCAAAGTTAACATTCACATTAAAAAATATTTTCTAGAATCAATGGTGAATTTAAAATATTCAGCTATTTATAGTGTAAAAACCAAATACTTAAGTCTGAAAAAGTGTAGCCAGTATTTCTAAATGTCTATTTTAATGTATGTGAAACAAAAGTGCTTTGTAGACATTACTCATAAGATACTAAATTCCTTTGTGAACTCCATTTCAAACAAAGCAGCTCTATTTTTGGTATTAAATATTTTTACAGAAGGATTCACTTGAAAACAAGCATTTAACTATTTTTTAAATTAAATAACAATAAGCAAATAAGAAAAATTCACCAAAACACTTGAAAATCTGTTTAAATGAAATACATACCAGTCCTAGGAGAGGGACATCATGCTTGGGTGAGCGGAGAGACAGTTTAAGAGAAGAAGACCTTCAATAAGATGGACTGATTCAGTGACTGGGGTAACGGGGGTAGGTGTGTCAGAGACAGTGAGACTGGCACAGAATAGAGCAAGGTTTAGAGCTGTTGCGCATAGGGTCGCTATGAGTCGCAGGAGACTTGACGATACATAACAACACATGTATATGTAGCTTACCTGCCTGCTCTCTAAGTGCCTCATTTTCATCAAGGAAATCATTGATCTTCAACTCCAGAGTATTGATTTCCTTTGTCAATTCTTCAATTTCTCGATCTCTTATTTTAATTTGATTTTTACAATTCTTTATTTCAACAACAGCATCTTCTAAGCCATATACTCCCTATAAAATGTCCAATTTAGTTTACATATAATATGCTTTATTGAGACACATTTATCAAATTCAGTAATTTATTTTCTTTCTGTGAAAAAATATACAAATGTCTAATAGGGTGTACATCTTTAAAGTGTGAATTTTATTGTGCATTCATAAAACAAAATCAGTAATAGTGATAGAAAAAGGAAAAGTAAAAATTCTAGTATGGAGTCTTAAATAGCAAGATGATTATGAAATATTATGTATGTATAAAATTCCTATATAGAGAAAAAGTAAATTTAAGAGCAAAGCAATTATATGAGTAGAGATTTAAGACATCAGTTGCCCGATTCAGTTTTTATTCTAAAAGATATTTTTTAAAAAGTACAAATGAAAGCTGTGTTGACACAACAGGTTACAAATTATTCCTGCTATAATTTTTACCATTTACCTAGAAATATTGTATCTACATAGTGACAGTAAAACATCTAAACCTGCAGCATCACCAAAGCTGATTAACTGGGAGAAATGGTTTGAAAATACTTCAAATGAAGTGCTGCTCAAGGGTCTGAAAAGTTTAACATATCTTTTGAACAAATGATACTTATTGGAATGTTTTAAAATGTAAGCAGTAAACAGCACAAGATAATCTAATCTTGAGTGACAGGAATGACTCTAACTAAGCTGCTTGACTGAAAAGGTAAAAATACATACCGATTCATAATCTTTTAATCGCTTCAGAGCCTCAACAAGTTCTTTATCCTTTTCCCTTGCATCAGACTCAGCCAGCTCAGCTATTCTCTCAGCCTCTTTGGTTTTCTCTTCTAAACTTTGTAGTTTTGACTGAATTTTCATATAATGAGTCTGTTGTGAAAGGCTTGAAGCACCTACAGGGTAAAAACCAAAATATGAATAAACTGCATTGCCTTCTTACAGTCCTTAAAATCATTCATTCTGACCTTAAAATCATTCGTTCTGACTTAGTAAGGTCTGAGAAGAGATGCTCTGTTGCTAAAGAGCTCCCTTAACATAACAATTTTATATTGGAAAAGTAAAAGTTTTCTATTTTATTAATACCATTTGTATATTTCAAGAAATTCTTCTTAGCTGAAGGATTATAGTTGTGTAGCACTGTATTACGAAGATGATGACTGTAGCAGTAACTATTCTCTCAATGCTGCTGAGTTGGAAATTGACTCACAATTAATCCTCAGCTGAGTTTTCAGAGGCTATAAACTAGACGAGTGAGTGAGGAGGACATGAAGCACTTGTTGCAGAAGATCAAGGAATGCAGCCTTCAGTATGGATTGTGTCTCAATATCAAGAAAGAAAATATTCTTACCACTGGACCAATAGGTAGTGTCAGGACAGATGGAGAGGAGATTGAAACTGTCAACAGCCTCATCTTGCTTGGATCCACAATTAACACCCTTGGTACCAGCAGTACCAATAATAAGGAGACACAATGCACAGGGAAAATCTGCTGTTAGGGACCTTTCCAAATTATTGAGTAGTCATTTCAGTTTGAGGACTAAGACACATCTGCTTAAGGCCATAGGTTTTCTGATTACTAGCTATGTGTCCAAGACCTGGACAATGAATAAGGATGATAGGAAAAGAATTGATGCCTTTGAGTTGGTACTGGAGAGGAGCACTGAACATTCCATGGATGGCCAAGAGAACAAACAGGTAAGTCTTGGAGAGGGTGCAGCTAGAGTGCTCTTTGGAGGTAATAATGAGGCTTCACCTCACAAACACTGGACATATTGCCAAGAGGCGCTACTCCTTGGAGAGGAAGTGTGGAGGGTCGGCAAACGAGAGGAAGACCCTCAATCAGGTGGATTGACACGGTGACTGCTGCAATGGGCTCTTGTGTGTCAGAAAGTATAAAGATGGCGCAGAGCAGGACTGGGTTTAGATCTTTTGCTCATAGGGTGGCTATGAATCATACTGAACTCAATGGCGCCTAACAAAAAAAAAACAACAAAGTTGACGAGAACAGACTACTCTTTGTTGTCCCACAGACAAGGCTGGTTTTGGGTTGACAGAGTAACTCTTTGCTAGGGCACCAGAGTTCCCAAGACTACCCAAATACTCAGCTACTTTTTGTTAACTGTCACAGAAATACACTGTTTACCTGAACAAGTATCATTTTCCACTTCTATTCCAGCAGCCTAGAAGTGACCATGTAGTGAAGTTTGGCTAACAGACTATAAATAGAAACCAGCTGCACAACCAGTTGTTGTTGTGGATTGCTGTCGAGTTGAGCATGACTCATAGTGACTCCTTGAACAAAAGGCCTAATGCCTTTCTGTAACTATTGTCCTTTCTCCAAGTCCATAGAGTTTCCATAGGCATGTGTGTTAGGAAGTTGATGCCACTCCTTCTTCCAAACCTGTTTTACAACTGGGAGCTCAACCAAACACTGTCACCTTTGGGAAACCATTATGGCATTTCACACCCCAGTGGCACAAGGTTCAGCATCACAGCAAACCCAGATTACCTCAGTACAGCAAATCTGGCAAACAGTGATGTACAAAATAGAAGAATGTTCCTCCAAAATATAGCACTAGTCTCAGTTAGTAGTGGTTAAGTGTCGTCAGGTCGAATATGACTTACAGCGATCCTATGAAAAAAGACCTGAACTTTGTTCTACAATTAACATTATGCTTTTATGCTGAGATGATTTTTACATGGGGGCCACTTTTTTTTCTGCATTCCATAAGTACACAGATATGAAAGTGGGAGCGCAGTCTCCTCAGAACGACGAGATGTAGACAACAAGCTGAGATGGCTAGAACTAGACACAAGATGCCAGATACCTGTTAATTATGCAGCTGCAATACCAAATTTTGAATAAATGCATTAACTTTAATTACTATCAGAAAGACATAAATTTCTAGCAGAAAAATATAAATTTCTGTATTTAATATATCACTGTGTGGGATTATTCTGTCACATGCGGCTAAACTTAATCTTGGCAAATAGCTAAAAAATGTACTCTTTAATCAAGCTCTTTAGACTACAATGTATTATTACTATCACTCTAAAATTTATTGACAGATAATTCACATGTGTTCATAACAAACACTTACTGACAAAGTATATTATTTATGTAAGTTCTTGGCACATTTCTGCTCCAGAGGCTGTCTGCTTATTTCTACTACTTATAAGTGCAGTTTCCTGCTGACTAGGCCAACAGTGCTTCCTTTAGAAGCACTGCCTTCAAAGAAAACATAGGCATGGCTCACTCCCTTATCTTTTTCAAGTTTTGTTCAAGTTTTGCCTATAGATCTAAATTGCAGCCTTCACATCAATGATTACACACTTACACACTTATCGTTGTGTGTTGCTGAGTTGGAACCAACCTCTAGCTGGTCCTCCAGCAGGTTTTCAGAAGCAGTAAACTACACTAGAGATTGCCCATCCTTCTCCCTTGGAGTAGCTAGTGGATTCAAATCACATTCTTTTGAGACTGCAGTGCAACTTCTTATAGATAGGCTACCAGACCCCCTAAAGTTTTGCCTATACAGAATACACAATATCCATACTTACTATTTTCTCTTTACATGTTAATTCTTAGCAATTATAATAAACATCATTAATTTATTAATCATTTGCCATGCTGCAAATAAAAATTGTCTCATTCTTTGCTGATTATTGTCTGTTATGTACTATTGAGTAGGAGCAGATCCACAGCTGACTCTCCAGCAGGTTTTCAAAGGCTATAATTACATGGGAGGAGACTGCCCATTTTTCTCATGTGATGGGTATGAATCATGTGCTTTGGGGCTGGCAGTTCTCTGCTACCGTGCTGTTCTATGTTTGTTTTTTTGTTGTTGTTGGTTTTTTTTTTTCTGTTCTATTTTTTAATAACCAGCAAAATTTTGCTTGCATGTGATGTTAACATTATTGCTCCATAATGTCTATGTTATATTGGCTCACCTTTTATGGCAATGGGAATAAAAATGTATCTCTTCCAGTCAATTTTCCAAACAGATTAAGGGAACACTGCATGATTTAAAATTAAGAAAGGTGTGTGTTAGGGCTGTACCTTTCTCCAAACCTATTCAATCTGTATGCTGAGCAAATCATTCAAGAAGCCAGACTTAATGATGAATGTGGCATCAAGACCAGAGGAAGACTCATCAACCACCTGTTTCAAGCAGATGACACAATCTGCTTGCTGAAGTTTCAAAGATGTGAAGTGCTTGCGGCAAAAGATCAAGGACTACTGCCTTCAATGTGAATTACATGTCAATATCAAGGAAACAAAATCAGAACCACCAAGCCAAAAGGCTACATCATGACACATGGAGACTGAAGTTGTCAATGATTTGGATCCACAATCAAAGCCCTTGTTATCAGCAGTCAAGAAATCAAAAGACCGGTTCTGAAATGTGTTGTCAAGGATTTCTCTAAGTCTTAAGAAGCAAGGATGTCAACTTAAAGACTAAGGTGAACCTGACTGTAGTCAGTCTTGCTATATGAGTATCTCATAGATGCCCCAAAGAACATGTTGGTCTTAAAGAAAGTGAAATCAGGGTGCTCCTTGGAAGCAAGGATGATAAAATGTCACACACTTCAGACAAATTTTTAGGAGGAGCCAGACTTCGGAGAAGGGCATTATGCTTGCAAATGTGGAAGGTCAGCCTTGAGAGGAAGACTCACAAGTTGGACTGACACAGTGACCATGACAATGGGCTCAAGAGTGTTGCTGGAGATAGTGAGGATGGTGCAGGATAAGGCAAGATTCAGGTCTGCTGTTCTTAACATCACTGTGAGTTGCAGTCAATTCAGTGGCACATATCAACAGCAACAACAACTAGTGTTTTCTAACATGTAATGATTACAGGAGCAGTTTGACAGACAGGGTGGGTATGGACTGCAGACTTTATAGTTAGCAGTCAAGCATCTGGCCACTGTGCTACCAAGGCTCCTCTCATAAAGATTAAAACTAAGAAATTCCCGCGATGTAGGTCTACTCTATTACATGGGATCACTGAAAGTCAAAATAAACTAGAGGAAACCTAAGAATATCACAAAGCAAGATATCTAAAATTACTTATATCCTATATAGTTTTTAAACTATGATAAAATACAAAAGAAGAAGGCTCAGCAATATATATTCTTGATATAATGTCTTTTCTACTCATTTTTTTAAAACATAGCATACAAAATTTTATGAACTTATAAAATGTTAAGGTACCTTTGTTTCTGTGGAGTTCAGTTTTCAAATCTTCAATAATAAAAGTATTTTTTTCCATTTCTTTTGTATATTGTTCTACTTGCTCGGTGAGCATCTTAATTTGACTATCTCGTTCTTGTACTCCCTGGATTTTCAAAGGTCACAGATTAGCATTTCATAGACATTAAGATTAGCATTTCATAGACATTAACATGTATTTTAAAACACAAAGACAAAAGTAAGACTCTTCTTTTTCAATGATAATGTAGAATAGTTTCTGAGAGATAAAACTTATATTTTTCTATTTACTTTGCTCTGGTACGCCTAGTTGCGCACTGCCAACCCAAGGAAGAAAGGTTGAATCCACTAGCTTTTCTACAAGAGAAAGAAGGATAATCTTCTCTCATGTGATGTAAGGCTTCTGAAAAGCAACTAGAGGGTCGGCTATGAGTTGTTTCTGACTAGCAAAGAATGAGCTATTGTTGAGTATACTTCTACTGTATTAGACAATGTTCAATAATTCTGCTTAACACTTTAAAAAATGGGTAAAATGGGCATATTCTGTAAAACAGGAATTTCAAAACTACTTATAATTTTTAGGTTCTTACTCTATTTCTTGTATATACTTTATCTCCCATCCAACCTAATGTTTTTTGGTTTTGTTTTGGTTTTTTTTGTCTTAACTTACTAGTTTATTTACAAAGTTCACATACATTTTTTTTGTTTTATTTTTTCCTTTGTTTTGTATCATCAAGTCGGATCCAAGGGACACAGAAGGAGATTACCCTTCTTTCTCCAGCGGAGTATCTGCTGGATTCAAACCATGTACCTTCGGGATTGCAAAGTAGCTTCTTGCCACTAGGCCACCAGAGCTTCCTCAATGTAATCTTTTAATGATTTTTAGTCTTCATGCTATTCCTCTATTAGCTCTTTTACTAAGTTTTGTTTTTCCATGCCAGAATTTAATTAAAAAATACTGCATACTATAATTTTTCTTACTGTTCACTTTCCAAAATTCTTTCTTCTTTGGTCTATGACTAGAAAGCACAGATTACAAAAGTGAGAGTTCACTGTGTAAAAGTATTTGCAGGGTTAGCTTGCAGTTGGCTTTCGAAGCCATTACTTTAGCCCCCTATGGTCTCTAGCTACCTTAAAAGTGGATACATGATCTTGTATATCATCAACAGCTGTGGAATTAGGCTGAGAAAGAGAGTGCTTCCCACATTGAGCAGCAAGACTTGAAGGAGACTAGAGAAAGACCCTGAGGAGAGGCAGACCCTGGTGGCAAGACCCTGGTGATGGTAGTAGAGAGACTAGCATTGCTGGGGAGAAACTGGAGCAAGGAGCCCTGAGATAAGGGCCACAGTTAAAGGTTTTGCTCTTCTTGCTTGATGATGGAAGGAGAAGCTGACTAATAACTGCTCTAAGGAAAACTCTGCTGGATAATTGAGGAAACCAGAGGCTCAATGAATTTGTGCTGCTGAACTGAAACCAGAACTTTAACTTATTAAACAATTATGTTTTGCTGTTAATCTGGCTTGGGACCACTGCACTAAATCTAGACTTTTATTGTGAGATAGTCTTTGCCTCTCCCACATTCCAAATTATTTCTCTAATAAATCTCATTCTTGGTACCACAACTGAGTAAAGTCTGCAAGTCAATAATGAATACTGAACAGTGATTGATGCAAACAGGTGCCGGAGCATAGGAGGTGGTGTGTTTGACCTAGAAGTTATTTGTTTATTGCTATGGATATTACTGATGGGGACAGTTCCCTCTTATGAAGCAAATAGCAGTCAGGCTCAGCCACTGCCAATCTAACATTGCACCTGCTCCTCTTATAGTTTATTTTTTACCAAACAGAAAACTTTAATTTGGCACAAATTATAAGAAAATTGTTAACTCATTTTACATTTATAGAGGATTTCAGCACTAAATAGGATAGCTGTAGTATAGTAATCTTTAATAAGAGAATAAAACTTAAAAATCATTAAAAATAAAATATCTTATGAAATTATTCCCAACCTAAACAATATGTATAATACTATCTATATTAACAAAGAAACCAGATAGATAGATAGATAGAAAGATAACTAATTCTAACTCCAACTCTAAATTTTACTTCATTTTTTCTGGGATTAGAGAGGATAAAACATTTTAAACACTCTCTAAAAAAAACTTGGTGATACAATGGTCAAGCATTTAGTTGCTATTGCTAATCAGTGACCGGTGATTCTAATTTTCAAGCCACTCCATGGAGAAAGATTTGCTAGTACTTCTTTAATTAGTAGAGTTTGGAAAACCTATGGAAGCAGTTCTACTTGCTCTTATAGACTCACTAGGAGTTGGAATCAACTGGACAATTATGTTTAGTGCACATCACTTGATTAGGCATAGGGAAAATTTGACATAGTTCAGAGTTCCGTTCTCAACCAGGCTGAAATTGATAAGTAAAATTTTGAGTTACTTTTACCTGTTGCAGAGCCATAACATTACTTTTATCAGCATCAAGCTGCGCATTTTTAAGTTTCTCCCTCAGATTATGTAACATTTGCTGATATTCAATAATTTCATCATCTTTAGAAGACAAAATTAACTAGAAATAAACACAATAAAATCAGTTATATAATAAATAATAAACTATTCTTTATTTACAATGAAGATTCTAATAATCAGCAACGATCAAGGAAATAGAAGAAATCAAATCCTTTGACGTAAAAAAATATTAGCACCTTCAATCTTTCAACCTTCCTTCCTTCAGTTTATCACCTACAGTTCCAGTAATATATTGTTCAAAAAATATAAACTTTTCCTTTTAATAAAGTCAATCTTTAATCTTAAATTTTAAAAAATATTTATAAGCAAGAAGATTTAAATAAATACAAAAAGTTTTATGTAATTCTTATAAAAAATAATTAAAATGTCACGAGACATTCTCAATTAATAAAGAGGTAGCGTGTTTTCTTGGATACAAGGAACAGCTATCACCAAGATACTAACTAAATCTAGAAATATAAACACATGCAATCAAAGGATCAATATGATACTTTTAATATTTTTTTCTGGTATTTAAGGAGCTCTTCTGGTGTCAATCTGGAGACTAAGGTGCGTCTGATTATAGGCCACAGTCTTTGCAATCACTTGTTACGTGTTAGAGAGTTGGACAATGACTAGGGAGGATAGGGAGGAGGAGAATTGATGACTTTGAGCTGTGGTGCTGGAGAAGAGTAGTGAGTGTACCATGGACTGCTAAGAAAACAAACAGATTCATCCTGGAGAGGGTTAAACTGGACTGCTCTTTGGAGGCAAGGATTCTGAGGATTCGTCTGACATACTTTGGACATGTTGTAAGGAGGGACTGGTCATTGGAGAGGGACATCATGCATGGTAGGGTGGACGGACAGTGCAGGAGGGGAAGGCCCTCTATGAGGTGGATTAATTCAGTGACTGGGGGAATCGGGGTAGTTGTGTCAGAGACAGTGCAACTGGCACAGGACACAGCAGGGTTTAGGGCTGTGGTACACAGGGTCGCAATGCGTTGCAAGCGATTCAATGGCACATAACAGCAACAACATTTAAGGAGTTGGATAAGTGTTTATCAATATCACATAAAAATGAGAAAAGCAGCTTTTTCATCTATTTAAGCACAGTAATTTTAAAAAGTACAGATGATTAAAAAATAAATCACATAACAAAGAAGGTTCAAGAAATAATCTCAAACTCAACAGAAATAATGTATATTTGCAATGAAAGTAAGAAGATAAAATAGTTCATGAATGACATTAGTTTAGTAAGGTAACATCTTATCATAATGTATCCAAGATCACTCCTTAAATCAAATTGAAATTAAATGTGCCACAAATGTTTAAATGTTAAAGATAAAGCCAGAAAATACTATAAGAAAACCTTGAGAAAGTGACTTTATGTTAAGAAGCCTTTCTGTTAACAATATAAAGTCTAAAAACATGTAAATAAATTAAGCTACACAATGTAAAAAGAAATATCACATAGGAAAAATATAGAGACAAATGTAAAAACTAAAGAAATACATTTATAATATATATGACGTTTCTTTGATGGCTTAGGATAAACAATTGCATTGCCAAAGGTAGGCAGTTTGAATCCACCAGCTGCTCCCCAGGAGAAAAGATCAACAATCTTCTCCCCTGCAATTTACTGCCTCTGAAAAGCTGGTGGAGGGTCAGCTATGGGTCAGTTTGGACTGAACAGTACAACAACAACATGATAATTGCAATGCAGCAATTTATCACTGTAAAAACATTAATCTACTAGTATATTCAATAAAATTTCTTACACTCAAAATTGAAAGCACGTTTAAATGTCAATTAGTAAGGAGTCAACTAAACAACATTCACAGTTACAAAGAAAAATTATAGAGATAAAAAGCAATACTACTTGAGATATTTTATTATATTGTTTGCTTAAGAGTAGGAAGGGAAAGGATGAATAATGAGCACTGCATTGGACTAGGTAAAAGGAAAGTCAATGTAAAATGACTGGACAATTAGACAGCATGTGTATTGCAAATAACAAAGGGACAAAATGCTGAAGTAAAAGAGCTGAAGAGAAGATTTTAAAGGGCAGTTTAAGAAGGCAGAACAAAGTGTTACTACTGAAGAATAAAAAGAAAAGAATTAATTAGGCATTTCTCAAGTTGAAGAGACTGAAAAAAATCAAAGCCTAAAGTTGCAACATTGAGAGATGCTATGGGCAAAATCTTGATGATCCAGGAACAATTAAAAGATGGAGGGAATATACAGTTAATATACTAAAAAAGGAAGGAGGAGTGGCATCCACCTCCGTAATAGCTTGCCTCCGGAAACCCTATGAATCTGGATAGAGGATGAAAGGCACCCAGGCATCAAGAACTCTCCTTCTTAGGGTCGCTATGAGTCACCTGCGACTTGGCAGCACTTAACAACAACAATACTAAAAAAGAACAGACTGAAGCTGAAATATTTCAGTAAGTACCATATGATCAAGAGATAATGGTAGTGAAAGAAGTTCAAGTTTTACTGAAAGACTTGGGGTAGTAGGGAGGCCCCAGGAATTAATGAATACCAGCTCGCATGTTTCAACCAACAGATGCAGCTCTGGACATGCTCACCAGTCTATGCCAGTTCTCCTTCCTGAGGAAGATGATTCAACAGAATGTGAAAATTAACAAACAATATCATTAATATCATATCTTGCTGAAGATCATTCAAGAAAGGTTAGAACATAAATAAAGAAGTACCAAAAGTCCAAGCTGAATTTAGAAGAGGTCTAGCACGAGGGCCACTGCAGATGTCAAACAGATCCTGGCTGAAAGCAGAGAATATTAGAAGAATGTTTAATTGTATTTTATTGACTATATAAAGGCATTTGACTGTATAGATCATAACAAATTATGACTAACACTAAGAAGAATGTGAATTCTGGGCACTTAATTGTGCTTATGTGAAACTAATACCTACACAAACAGGTCTTGGGTGAACAGAGCAAGGGAAAAGTAGATGGTATAATATTAAAAAAGCTGTTCATTGGAGTTATATCCTTTCTCCAAACCTACTTAATCTGTATGCTTAGCATATCATTCAAGAATCTGGAATTTATGAAGAGGAATGTAGCATCAAGATCAGATGAAGACTCAAAAATAACCTACATTATTCAGATGACACAATCTTGTCTGCTGAAAATAAGGAGGTGAAGCACTTGCTGCAGAAAATCAAACACTTATGTTTTCAATATGGATGCATCTCCACATCAAGTAAACAAACTTCTCACCATTGCACCAATAAGCAATATCGTAACAGATGGAAAAAAGACTGAAATAGTCAATGGCTTCATCTTAGTTGGGTCCACAATCATCACCCTTGGTATCATCATACAGGAGATGAAAAGACATACTTCATTGGGCAAATCTGCAGTCAGGGATCTCCCCAAATCACTGAGGAGTAATGAAGTCAATTTAAAGAATAAGGTGCATCTAATTCAATCAATTGCTATGTATCTGAAAGGTGGACAATGAATTAGGATGACAGAAGACGAACTGATATCTCTGAGCTAGCTGTGCTGTTGGAGAAGAGTCCATAGATCACGGACTTCCCAAAGAATACACATATCTTACAAAAAGAATAGACATATCTTAGAAAGAGTGCTCATTAGAGGCCAAGGTGACAAAGCCTCATCTCACATACTTTAGGTTTATTGCTAAAAGAGGCTATTCTTTGGAGGGGGGAATTATTCCTGGAAAAGTGGAGGGTTGGCAAAAGACAGGAAGACCTTCAACCAGTTGGACTGACATAATGACTGCATCAGTGGGCTCAAATGTGCCACAGACGATGAGGATGGCACAGGATAAGAAAGAGTTTAGGTATGTGCTCATAGGGTCACTATGAGTCATACATGACTTGATATCACCTATCAACAACAATAATTACCAATTTGGAGCAGGACATGCATTATGGCATAAACCAGGGTAAAAGGGGAAAAGTCTATAAGAATGAGTGAATGAAAAACCAATTTTTTGGCAGTTTTACTGAAATCACAATTAAAATAAAGAAAATGCAAAAGAGTAAATCTAACACTACCACATCCCTCAAAAAAATTAAATAGATCAAACTCACAAATCCAAGGGCTAGAAATCTATAGATAGCAGGTCAATCTGTTATAACATCTATTATTATAAAGTGTTACTGCTAAAAAGACTCACCACTTCATTTACTTTTTTTCTACGGGTGCTTTTCATGCTACTAAAGCAAAGGGTAACATGTACTAGATGGCTTACACAGCTTAAAAAGATTTATTCTGTGATACTTATTGTAAATTATTTTATT